AACCGTACTGTGTTTGTCAGGAAAAAAAACGTGCATATTAGTGTGCAGTTCAAACCTGTGTTCTTCATGGGCCGGCTGTATTTGGTTTTAACTAAAAACTGGCACAGAACAGGTAACCAGACACAAGCAGGCCAGAGGCACAGATCTGAGTTACTCCAGGGAGAGCACAGACAAGAACGACAAATGGTAGCACCGTCGCTTGCGCTGTCCATGCAGCTCTTCGTCAGTAATGATGCCAGATACATACTTCTTATACAGAGGCCGCAAGAATTTGTCCAAAAAAGGAAACATCAGGAAGACCGCGTAAAATAGGGATTTCTACTCACAAAGTGTGTGAGGACAGGAACTAAAGAGGGAATGAATCTGCAAATTAATGAAGGGGGACCTCACGGAAGTAGGCTCGGAGGCTAGAAGCAGAGGCTGGAGAGGGAAGCCTACCACCTGACATCTCTTCCAGAGAGAACTGTCCATTATAGACCCAAGAGAAGAACGGCCAACAAGAAAGAATCCTCAACTACAGGATGCAACAGGGAAAGATACGCAATGCATGTCCTGTACGAAATCAACCACAACCACAACTCAGCCAATCAGGGACCGTCATCACCATGAACTCATCACCATGAATCATGGTAAAATGACTACTTGTTTTATTTTTAAGATTAATAAGATGTTCATGATTAGCAAGGTACTAAAGATACCACTTACTTCATCTTTATCTTTTTTGTATGATAGTTATATGCTTATAATTTCTAAGTAACTGAATGTGCACATGTTAGAGGTGAAGGCTCAAGGCTTACTTCCTGATGGGGCACCTACAGACATGCTTCAGAGACCACAGCCTGCACTCAGTTCCGCTCCCGACTAGCTCTGGGACGCCAGGCCAGAGCATGCCTTATGCTTCATTACACAGCCCACTTAGAAGGTTCAATACATTCAAAATGATTAACTCATCACTCTACTGTAAAGTACACGACACTTGCTATTTATGTTTTTCGAAATTCTGGCAGTAAAGTTCCATACAATGTGTAAAGCTGGAGCAGGGTTCTAAATGGATCATCTGGGGGACGGACACTGTGTCTAGACAGGCTTCCAGTGGTGTTTCAGGCTGCTTCTATTGCTTTGGGAATCCGACCCATGTCAGAATGCACTTGACAGGCCCATGCCTTGCCCCCTCTCTCCCTGATTTTTAAGGCGCAAAGAAAATAAGATAACAATCTTATCTGGGCACACAAAAGCCATGTTTTACAGGGCAGCTCTCTCAGACAACTGCTCCTGGACATTTTTCTCAGGAATCCAGTCTCAACTGCTAAGCATATATGAAGTCTGCAGTCAAATTAGCATTATAGAGGACAAAGGAATGTTAAGTGGTCTTCGGAATGAAAAGCAGGGGTCCATCAGCCAGAAGGAGGATTAGCTGAAACGATACGCTATGGGAGGATGTCGTCTGAAGAGGAGGCACTGAAATGAGAGGTGACAACGCGGGGAGGAGGCGGCCAGCCGTGTCTTTCTCGCCCTGGCCTCCTCCCCGGGAAACACCCTCATTACGCTGGGCGTCCTGTGTGGCGGGTCAGAATGCTGATGTGTCAGGGTGAGCAGGTGGCACTCGCACGATGATGAATTGATCATTGTGCGGAACCCCTCTCATCTCCTGACTCTCCCCTTTCCTCTGATTTTAAGAAGAAGCTCTTATTCCCATATTCATTCAGTTCAGAAGATGTGATCCACAAAAGTTAACTCAATGTAAAATGTTCAAAGCAAAAACCAAAAGCAGGTTGACAGGTTTATAAAGCTTGCCTGGGTCTGACCTCAGAATAGAAACGTCTACTCTCGGGTGAGTTCAGCCCATTCTTTTTCTGGCACGCACCTGAGCTGCGGGAGCTGGCTATGAAAAATTCATGCAGGACGCTTCAACAGTCCCACCTATGTCCTTAACATCTGCTGGCTTCCCGTCACACTGCAACTTCAAAGTGAATCCACCCCTGAGATGGCAGCAAGCTTTCACGGGGGAGGAGGATGGATAGTTCAGAGATGGCCTTCTGGACAGGAAATATCTGTGCAGGACAGGCCGCAATTTATCCTCTGAGCCATACAAAGGGGGAGAAATGTGAAGAGATGAGAACACCAGCGACTAACCACGGACAAAACAGCTGGCGGCACCGTTATGGGACCGCAGTTCCCTTCTAATTATCATGCCTTTTTAAACATTTATTTATTTTTATCTAAATCCTATCTTTTGCTTCCCATAAGCTTCACGTGTAGGCAAAACATGTGGCAACTGTAAAGGGGGGGTGATGCTGTGAACTCTCAAGTACACGGGTGTTTGGGAAGATACCTCATTTTCCCCCACCCCCCCACAGACACCAGCTGGGTGTCAGGGCAGCACTCACTTCGATGTTCAGAGGCTAGGCCGGCCCCTGGGTGCTATTCCGCCTGGACACTAGGCTGTCCTGACCTTCGGGAGGGACGGCTTACCATTATGATGGGAAACAAGAGGTGGGGCCACCTGGCACTCTTCAATTTCAAATTAATTACAGTACAATTTCCACCAGGAACTTAATCTCCAGCTACTCCTTCCACTTCAATCATATGCACTATACAATCGTTCCTTATTTCACTCTCTTGAGGCCGAAGAAAAATTTATCGTTGTTAAATGATAATTGGCTATAACATCTTTTGATTCTTCAGAAATTCTGGCTGGCAAGTTTTTAGAAGATTTCATCTATCTTGTTTGGCATTTTTACAAAGCCTCCATCAGGAAAAAAAAAAAAAAGGAAAAGAAGATGCGTAAGGGTGCAGAGCACACTGCATCTCACCACGGGAGTGGACACTCTTGAGGATGCCTCATTCTCAAGCTGCCTCCCCAGTGCCACAAGGAGCCCCGAACCGCAGTTTCCGATGCTTTCAACATTCACTGCATTCTGGACGGAAGCAACATTTAAACATACAGTTCTGGGACTTTCTGCAGATTTATCAGTATTGCTGATCTTTAGAGGTTTCAAAATAGGATTTTTAGCGAGAACATGCATAGCTGAGTGCCAGTTAACTTTCAGCTAAATCCAGTATGTCAACAGAATGTTATCTTAAGAATCAAAATAAGGCCGGTTCCTCCACCTTCCTATTTCTCACATTTTACTTGGTCCCAATAAGAAGCAAGGACTATATAAGGAAACAGTGTGTAGCTTTTCTCCTGAGATTTAAAACAAGTCCATCCGTATCATCAACCTCTTTATAACCTGCCTTCTACACATTTTACCTGGTGCCAATGAAAAGATAAAGATATACAAGGAGCAAAATGCAAGGCAGTTAATTTTAATAGTTATGAGCTGCTCCCAAAACACTTCTTGGTTGGAGGAGAAACTGAAATTACTGAAAAAGCATTTACATATTCCAATTACCTAACGCTACGGTATCCATTTGTGGAGCAACTTGCAAAGTCACTGTATGAGTTTTATTTCCTACTGGCCTTTCTATAATAGGCATGTAGGGCACTATGGCTTTAGACTATTTCATGACTCTGTGATGTTAGCATCCGTGTTAACCAGAATATCTGTGGAAGTTTTTCCTCCTCTTCCAACAGACTGAGGACAAGTTCCTTGTTTCTGACCTAGAATTTTACCAGTTTGACAAATTATTATCCTGGTAGGTATATCACAACTGAGTGATAAATCAATTGTCTAAATAGAACAAATGGCTGTAATTGTAAAACTTGGAAATCACTAAGCAATCAATCTATTTGATAATGTGATTTCCATTCTTTATTATCATATTGAAAAAACACTGTGATCAGTCACATTTACTTCCTCTATGGTCCTTTAAGCAGCAGTGCCTTCCTGGCCTGTATGTTGTGACCCACACCTGGCCAATGCACAGAACCCTCCAAAGCCTTCAAAAGGCCATGGAGACAGTCCAGGCTGCGCCCAGTCTACCGTCTGGACATCAGGCTTCAATTCCCAGGGATGAAAGGGTTGATGGCAGAATAATGGCCGCTCAGGAGCACTTCCCAAGAACGTGAGGGTGTGTGAAAGCCCACCCAGGTAACCCTGGGGTCTCCTACCCCATGTGTGCTACAAACATTCGCTCGGCCGGTCCCACTCAGCTTCATGCAATCGTATCCCTCACAGAGCACGAGCAGCAAACACCACAATCCCAACCCGTGAATGAAACACAACTTTTCAAACCACCTGAGGGGAAAGCCGTTTCTCCAAGATGTTTCTCAAAAAGATGACATCTACTACAATATGGACCAAGTCGTTTACCTCACCCTTATCTGATGCGATCACGGGATTTTGAAATCCGTAACCATTTTCCACCTGTATTTTCTCAACATGCAATCCCTGCATTTCGTCCCATGCTGCAAACACCTGGTGATGAGTCCTCGGAGATGTGCATTTTAATCTTTCAGGCCAGAGTTTTCGCTTCTGGTCATTTGCCCCTTCTCCCGCAATCAACTCTGGGAGAATTCTTAGAGACTTCTTTCAAAGGCCAAATGTTTAAACTAAGTTTCCTCAAACTAACATTTCCTTAAATAAACTGAAAGTATAATGGAAATTTGCATGTATTTGCTTCACAATTCTGTTAAATCAGGTAGAAAAAATGGTCAGCTGATTATGATTAAGAAACATGGCTAATTTTAACACAATATGTATGTTTTCTCAAGGATTTTATTTTAAATTAACATAATCCATGCCTAATCTAGTCTCAGAAAAGGTTCACTGATATAATTCCTTAAAAATCAAGATTTGTTGTTGTTAAAAGCGACACACGTTAAGAACTATTTTTTAAGCCCCAAACACACATGATATTGCAGTCAGCAGCATTGGCTGTGCTCACATTTGACGCACACTGCCTCAAAGAAAGCAACTATTGACAGTGGATCAATATTAAGCCACAGCCACCATCCTAGAGGGAGAAGATTTATTGCAAAATGCCCCATGAGAAATTTATGAATTAGATCAAGGCTTATTGCTTTCAGAATGAGGGTGCAGAGTCTCAGAACTCACCTGCTACGCTCAGGTGAATGAGTGGGCTAGTCTTGCTCTCTCCGTTGCGCTCATTGACGGCCTGCGCGTAGTAAGCCCTGGAATCACCCACTGTCGCTGCGAGGATAACCAGTTGATTTTCCAGCGTGATGGCTCTGTGTCAGACAAGAGACAGCATCAGAACCACTCCATAGGACTTCTTGTTTGTAAGGCAAATTAGTTTACTAGGCCATCGAGAAAGGCATGTCTGGGGTTTTGAAAAGATCCAGAAGGACAAAAACATCCACAGGCCAAATACACAGTGGCGGCTAAGCCTCCTCTGGCCCATATTCACACTCCTGTGGGGAGGGTTTGGGTCCTCGGCATCCCTTCTGGCCCTTGGTTGTGAGGAACTTACATATCCAGCATTTGGTAAAAACTCTGAGCTTCCCTGGGAACCTGTGACAAGTTCGAGAAATCCCAGGAGGGCTGGTCTTTCTCTTTCAGGCAGGGCTGTGTGACCACACACAGTCACACACCTCTCAGACGGAACACACCCAAAACCTGGACTGGGGGGCAAATGAATTCACTGTGATTTCCTGCACCTCCCAGGCAACCTCAGTAGAGGCTCTGTACTTCTATTTCTCAACGAGTGGGTAGAAGAACAGTTGCCAGTGGGCACAGCGCTGGCCCTTTCAAGTGGATCCTCCCATAACCACTGACGCCAGAGCTGCTGGTCCTTCATCTGGGCCATGGCCCCCTCCCCACCCCGTTCCACAGGTGCAGACAGCCTTGCCCACCATCACTGAGACCTTGCCATATAGCCCAATTCTGCTGCAGGAAGGAACCTAGGAGACACATTTGACCTGCCACTCTCTCTTTAGAAATGAGGACACTGAGGTAGAGACAGGTTAAGTTATTTGTTCAAGGTGACGTAGCCAGGTAACAACAACACCAGAGTGAGAACACAGTCTTCCCACGTGTGGACCGATGCTCTGCCAACAGGATCCCACACGGACTCACTGGACAATTTAAAAGAAGAGAAAGAAAAATAACAAAGACACAACTTCCATAAATCCAAGCAGCTTTTAATTACAATAAGTTTTCCTAGTGTCCTCTGCTCTTGCTATCATTTGTAGAATCTGGTAAAAAAACAGAAAATACAAAAGGTGGACTCACATGGAGAGGAAGACATATCCTGAGCCCCAAATTGTCATTTACCTTTACTCTTATTTCCAAACGCTGGGAGCAGTTTGGGACCTAGAGAGAACCGCACGGCTGCATGCAAGGTGTTATTCTTCAGGGAATAAGTTCATTTGTTCATTTTATTTTACATTTTTATTTATTTGTTTGTTTGTTTGAGAGAGCATGCTAGCAGGGCAGAGAGGTAGACTACACCCTACACGCAGTGTGAAGTTCAACATGGGGCTTGATCCCATGACCCCGGGATCATCACCTGAGCCAAAACCAAGAGTCAGATGCTCAATTACCTGAGCCACCCAGGCATCCCTATTTGTTCATTTTAAATCCTAGACAGTTGTAGCCCTTCCGACTCCAGGTAAGATCTCGGCTCTGGTAACATAAAACACCATAGGAACTGGGTGATCTTTCATGGGGAATTTTACTATAATAATCATCTTTTTCTTCCTGCCACATTCTAGAAAGCTTTTTTCAAAAACTCTCGACTTTTATCCACTATATAAGATTATCTTAAGAAGTTACTGCTTATTCAGGGTTCTCATAGGATATATTGCAGCTTCAGGTCTCTATGACTAATTCATTTTCTTTCTCACAAAAATTTCCCTATTAACAAATTTTCAATTTTTACTCCCATATAAATACCTCAAAGAAGCTTCACTATAATTATTTATGACTCCTTTATAGATTCCTTTATAGAAACACAGAAATTGTTCCATTTTATTTTAGTGTGTGTCACACCAGCACCTAAAATTAAATATGAATATTTATTACAACTGGAGTTACACATTAATAGTATAACTTAAAAAACTGAATATGTCATAACTTTTTTCCTTAACATCTGATTTCTGCCATAGTAATTTCAAATATGCCTATTATTTCTCAGAATTATTCTCCAAAAATGCCTATTAATTCTCTATATTATTTATGACACTGTCTCAAGATTATTAAAAATAAAAAAGTGCATAAAGAATAAAACTATTAAAGTTTACATTTATTATAATTTGTATCTTTAAGCCATTTTTTTCTTCTAGTTTTTAATTTCTAGACTATTTTAAGTCAAAACTTATGAAGAAAAACTTGTCCATGCCAAAAAAGACACCACAAAAATGCCAAAGCTTTGGAGAACATTAGATTAATGAGGACTTTATTCTTTCTTTCTCTCCAACTCTTTCTGAACAGGGCATGTTTAATGAAGAAACATTTTTTTTTTTTAAAGAAAATTAAGCCATCTAAAGGCACTTATCTTAATTTCGGATAATTCAGATAATTGTTATAATGGTTACAAAAAGAATTTATTTTTATTTTTTTAAATGTTTGCTTATTTTTGAGAGAGAGCTAGCGAGCGTGGGAGGGACAAGAGAGAGAGGGAGACATGGAATTCAAAGCAGGCTCCAGGCTCTGCTGTCAGCACAGAGCCTGACATGGGGCCTGAACCCATGAACCGTGAGATCACCACTTGAGTCAAGGTTAGATGCTTAACTAACTGAGCCACCCAGGTGCCCCTGAAAAGAGCAATTTTTAAAGACAGTGGAGCAGGTACCACACATTCATTCTTCTTCTCCAACTGACCTTGATTGTGCTGAGCCCACACCCATCTGGGCACCACGCATGCAGGCAAGTCAGCCCATTCTCAGCACCAGGTGCGGATTTTGGTCATCAGAGGCCAGTACAGGTATCAGTGCCACACCCAAGACAATGAGGAGCTGGCCCGGGGCCCAAGCTGCCCCTTGGATGAAGGGGAGGAGCTTGCTCAGGGGAGAGCTCTCACCCCTGCTGGAGGCCAGGCAGGAAATGCGCCATCCTGGGCTGCCAGCAGCCACCCTTGCAATGTGGAGGAAAGGCAGTGTGTACACAAGAGTAGGAGAAGGGACAGAATTTTGAGCGTCAGAGCAAATTAGACAACAACCTGAAGGCAGTGATGAGGAAGTATGCCAAGCGATCCTTCAACATGACTGTCCTATGTGTCCATAAACTATTGATCCTTCAACATGACTCTCACATGTATCTATAAACTATTCTGCAACAAGGTCTGGTTACTGATGTGGGGGTTGACTTCCAACGTCTGTTCCACATCTCCACCATTTTAGAGTAGCAAAGCGGTTTGGAAAGCTGACCCCAGCCGCGCTAGACCAATCATCGTAATCCAATCCCTCTTGCCAGTGACTGACACAGAAGACCAGACTTGAACCAGGTGGCTTGGGCATGTATGTGATGACTGTCACTGTCCTGTGGCAGCTGGCTCTATGTCCCTCTCACCAGATGGAAGGGCAGGATTTCCAGGGTTGGGCATCAGGGTTCTTGTCCCGTCATTAGATGTGAGCAAGGAAGCATGTCGCCTGGATGTTCATAGTGGCAATAGGATGACCATGAAGGGAACAACCTGTGTGTGATGCTGACGACGTTGATGGCAGGAGAGAGACCAAAAAAAAAGTACCTGGGTCTTTCACCTTGACTTCTGCCAAGGCAATGAACCACATCCTGCAGCCCATCCTGTCTCTGGGCTTCCTATGTTATGAAATGAGGTACTTCATTCACATTTAAACTTGTTTAAGTTAGGGTTTCTGTTCCCTGAAGTCAGGTGAATCTGGATACCGCCTGTGCAGTAGCATCCATTTAGAGTTCAAAAAGAGAAGAGTGCATCCTCATGGCATAAAATGTTACTAGTTCACTCTGAGTGGTAAGAGTTTAACTTGTTTTCTTTTGATTTCTGTGTTTTAAAATATTTTTCCAATTTTTCCAGAATAAATCACTTTAGTTATAGAAGAACAACTTTCAAAATGAACGCAAGGGCATTCATTTAATACTCTGCCCATAATATGGGCTACTTGGGTTTTTTATCACATAATTCCCAAGTACTAATTTAAAACTTACACTGACTTTACAGGAAAATCATAGCATTAAGCCAGAGAGATTTTTCCTTTATTTTAACTTTATTAAAATAAAGGTATATAGGGTTTTACATAAAATTATTTCCTTAGTCTTCCCCATTTTAATAATTCGACATTTCAAAATGAAATCTTATAATTCTAATTTCTAATTCTATGGGATAGTAATAAAGAAAATAATACACATATTTAAAAATGTAGGCAAGTGTGGGTAAAATTCACTACAACTTGGGAAACCAGAGTGCTGGATTCATGAGGACAAGTTCAAGGGTCACTTGCTACTGGTGTCCTTCTTTGTGGGGCTTCACTAAGGAGGACGTGCTATGGCTCAGAAGCGAGGGCATGTTCCTTGTGCTTTTGACTCTGCACTGGATTCTCCCAATACTGTCTTGAGGCCGTAGGCAAACTAAGAATTCTCGATTTGGGGGAAGTTAAAACCTCAGATTGTTCCTTGGGGGTCTCTGACCATCAGCACTGATCAAAATCCCCAACGAGGGAAAATGCCCCTGGGCGCCCAGACCCAAGGGCTTATACAGTTGACGTGTGGGGTGGGGATGGGGTGCCAGCCCGCGGGCACATCTACAAGTGAGCTTCTTGCCACACTTGCCAACATCCAGGGACGCCACATTCTGGATGCCATACAGGACACCTACTTTCCAACATGTGGCAGGGACACATTAATGACAGAAGCGCCCCTTGGTGGTTGATAAAAGCTGCCTGAGGCCAGGCACGAATGGAATGACAGGTGTTCACCTGGGCTGCCATGGGAAGAGAAGCAAGGAACTGTGTTCACTACTTAGTGAGACTATAGACCCCAAGCCTAACTCAGAGTGGAGGAGCTAGGGACCTGCAGCAAGTGCACAGCGCCCACATCTCAGGGAGCTCAGATTTCAGTGTTCATTTTTTTAAATTTAACTTAATTAAAAAATGTTGAGGTAGCTTTGAGAGAGAGAAAGCAGGGGAGGGGCAGAGAGAGAGGGAGACAGAGAATCCCAAGCAGGCTCCGCACTTTGAGCACAGAGCTGGATGCAGGACTCAAACTCACAAACAGTGAGGTCATGACCTGAGCTGAAATAAGAGTCAGACATTTA